TCAACCCTGATGCCCTTCACTCAACCCTGATGCCCTTCACTCAACCCTGATGCCCTTCACTCAACCCTGATGCCCTTCACTCAACCCTGATGCCCTTCACTCAACCCTGATGCCCTTCACTCAACCCTGATGCCCTTCACTCAACCCTGATGCCCTTCACTCAACCCTGATGCCCTTCACTCAACCCTGATGCCCTTCACTCAACCCTGATGCCCTTCACTCAACCCTGATGCCCTTCACTCAACCCTGATGCCCTTCACTCAACCCTGATGCCCTTCACTCAACCCTGATGCCCTTCACTCAACCCTGATGCCCTTCACTCAACCCTGATGCCCTTCACTCAACCCTGATGCCCTTCACTCAACCCTGATGCCCTTCACTCAACCCTGATGCCCTTCACTCAACCCTGATGCCCTTCACTCAACCCTGATGCCCTTCACTCAACCCTGATGCCCTTCACTCAACCCTGATGCCCTTCACTCAACCCTGATGCCCTTCACTCAACCCTGATGCCCTTCACTCAACCCTGATGCCCTTCACTCAACCCTGATGCCCTTCACTCAACCCTGATGCCCTTCACTCAACCCTGATGCCCTTCACTCAACCCTGATGCCCTTCACTCAACCCTGATGCCCTTCACTCAACCCTGATGCCCTTCACTCAACCCTGATGCCCTTCACTCAACCCTGATGCCCTTCACTCAACCCTGATGCCCTTCACTCAACCCTGATGCCCTTCACTCAACCCTGATGCCCTTCACTCAACCCTGATGCCCTTCACTCAACCCTGATGCCCTTCACTCAACCCTGATGCCCTTCACTCAACCCTGATGCCCTTCACTCAACCCTGATGCCCTTCACTCAACCCTGATGCCCTTCACTCAACCCTGATGCCCTTCACTCAACCCTGATGCCCTTCACTCAACCCTGATGCCCTTCACTCAACCCTGATGCCCTTCACTCAACCCTGATGCCCTTCACTCAACCCTGATGCCCTTCACTCAACCCTGATGCCCTTCACTCAACCCTGATGCCCTTCACTCAACCCTGATGCCCTTCACTCAACCCTGATGCCCTTCACTCAACCCTGATGCCCTTCACTCAACCCTGATGCCCTTCACTCAACCCTGATGCCCTTCACTCAACCCTGATGCCCTTCACTCAACCCTGATGCCCTTCACTCAACCCTGATGCCCTTCACTCAACCCTGATGCCCTTCACTCAACCCTGATGCCCTTCACTCAACCCTGATGCCCTTCACTCAACCCTGATGCCCTTCACTCAACCCTGATGCCCTTCACTCAACCCTGATGCCCTTCACTCAACCCTGATGCCCTTCACTCAACCCTGATGCCCTTCACTCAACCCTGATGCCCTTCACTCAACCCTGATGCCCTTCACTCAACCCTGATGCCCTTCACTCAACCCTGATGCCCTTCACTCAACCCTGATGCCCTTCACTCAACCCTGATGCCCTTCACTCAACCCTGATGCCCTTCACTCAACCCTGATGCCCTTCACTCAACCCTGATGCCCTTCACTCAACCCTGATGCCCTTCACTCAACCCTGATGCCCTTCACTCAACCCTGATGCCCTTCACTCAACCCTGATGCCCTTCACTCAACCCTGATGCCCTTCACTCAACCCTGATGCCCTTCACTCAACCCTGATGCCCTTCACTCAACCCTGATGCCCTTCACTCAACCCTGATGCCCTTCACTCAACCCTGATGCCCTTCACTCAACCCTGATGCCCTTCACTCAACCCTGATGCCCTTCACTCAACCCTGATGCCCTTCACTCAACCCTGATGCCCTTCACTCAACCCTGATGCCCTTCACTCAACCCTGATGCCCTTCACTCAACCCTGATGCCCTTCACTCAACCCTGATGCCCTTCACTCAACCCTGATGCCCTTCACTCAACCCTGATGCCCTTCACTCAACCCTGATGCCCTTCACTCAACCCTGATGCCCTTCACTCAACCCTGATGCCCTTCACTCAACCCTGATGCCCTTCACTCAACCCTGATGCCCTTCACTCAACCCTGATGCCCTTCACTCAACCCTGATGCCCTTCACTCAACCCTGATGCCCTTCACTCAACCCTGATGCCCTTCACTCAACCCTGATGCCCTTCACTCAACCCTGATGCCCTTCACTCAACCCTGATGCCCTTCACTCAACCCTGATGCCCTTCACTCAACCCTGATGCCCTTCACTCAACCCTGATGCCCTTCACTCAACCCTGATGCCCTTCACTCAACCCTGATGCCCTTCACTCAACCCTGATGCCCTTCACTCAACCCTGATGCCCTTCACTCAACCCTGATGCCCTTCACTCAACCCTGATGCCCTTCACTCAACCCTGATGCCCTTCACTCAACCCTGATGCCCTTCACTCAACCCTGATGCCCTTCACTCAACCCTGATGCCCTTCACTCAACCCTGATGCCCTTCACTCAACCCTGATGCCCTTCACTCAACCCTGATGCCCTTCACTCAACCCTGATGCCCTTCACTCAACCCTGATGCCCTTCACTCAACCCTGATGCCCTTCACTCAACCCTGATGCCCTTCACTCAACCCTGATGCCCTTCACTCAACCCTGATGCCCTTCACTCAACCCTGATGCCCTTCACTCAACCCTGATGCCCTTCACTCAACCCTGATGCCCTTCACTCAACCCTGATGCCCTTCACTCAACCCTGATGCCCTTCACTCAACCCTGATGCCCTTCACTCAACCCTGATGCCCTTCACTCAACCCTGATGCCCTTCACTCAACCCTGATGCCCTTCACTCAACCCTGATGCCCTTCACTCAACCCTGATGCCCTTCACTCAACCCTGATGCCCTTCACTCAACCCTGATGCCCTTCACTCAACCCTGATGCCCTTCACTCAACCCTGATGCCCTTCACTCAACCCTGATGCCCTTCACTCAACCCTGATGCCCTTCACTCAACCCTGATGCCCTTCACTCAACCCTGATGCCCTTCACTCAACCCTGATGCCCTTCACTCAACCCTGATGCCCTTCACTCAACCCTGATGCCCTTCACTCAACCCTGATGCCCTTCACTCAACCCTGATGCCCTTCACTCAACCCTGATGCCCTTCACTCAACCCTGATGCCCTTCACTCAACCCTGATGCCCTTCACTCAACCCTGATGCCCTTCACTCAACCCTGATGCCCTTCACTCAACCCTGATGCCCTTCACTCAACCCTGATGCCCTTCACTCAACCCTGATGCCCTTCACTCAACCCTGATGCCCTTCACTCAACCCTGATGCCCTTCACTCAACCCTGATGCCCTTCACTCAACCCTGATGCCCTTCACTCAACCCTGATGCCCTTCACTCAACCCTGATGCCCTTCACTCAACCCTGATGCCCTTCACTCAACCCTGATGCCCTTCACTCAACCCTGATGCCCTTCACTCAACCCTGATGCCCTTCACTCAACCCTGATGCCCTTCACTCAACCCTGATGCCCTTCACTCAACCCTGATGCCCTTCACTCAACCCTGATGCCCTTCACTCAACCCTGATGCCCTTCACTCAACCCTGATGCCCTTCACTCAACCCTGATGCCCTTCACTCAACCCTGATGCCCTTCACTCAACCCTGATGCCCTTCACTCAACCCTGATGCCCTTCACTCAACCCTGATGCCCTTCACTCAACCCTGATGCCCTTCACTCAACCCTGATGCCCTTCACTCAACCCTGATGCCCTTCACTCAACCCTGATGCCCTTCACTCAACCCTGATGCCCTTCACTCAACCCTGATGCCCTTCACTCAACCCTGATGCCCTTCACTCAACCCTGATGCCCTTCACTCAACCCTGATGCCCTTCACTCAACCCTGATGCCCTTCACTCAACCCTGATGCCCTTCACTCAACCCTGATGCCCTTCACTCAACCCTGATGCCCTTCACTCAACCCTGATGCCCTTCACTCAACCCTGATGCCCTTCACTCAACCCTGATGCCCTTCACTCAACCCTGATGCCCTTCACTCAACCCTGATGCCCTTCACTCAACCCTGATGCCCTTCACTCAACCCTGATGCCCTTCACTCAACCCTGATGCCCTTCACTCAACCCTGATGCCCTTCACTCAACCCTGATGCCCTTCACTCAACCCTGATGCCCTTCACTCAACCCTGATGCCCTTCACTCAACCCTGATGCCCTTCACTCAACCCTGATGCCCTTCACTCAACCCTGATGCCCTTCACTCAACCCTGATGCCCTTCACTCAACCCTGATGCCCTTCACTCAACCCTGATGCCCTTCACTCAACCCTGATGCCCTTCACTCAACCCTGATGCCCTTCACTCAACCCTGATGCCCTTCACTCAACCCTGATGCCCTTCACTCAACCCTGATGCCCTTCACTCAACCCTGATGCCCTTCACTCAACCCTGATGCCCTTCACTCAACCCTGATGCCCTTCACTCAACCCTGATGCCCTTCACTCAACCCTGATGCCCTTCACTCAACCCTGATGCCCTTCACTCAACCCTGATGCCCTTCACTCAACCCTGATGCCCTTCACTCAACCCTGATGCCCTTCACTCAACCCTGATGCCCTTCACTCAACCCTGATGCCCTTCACTCAACCCTGATGCCCTTCACTCAACCCTGATGCCCTTCACTCAACCCTGATGCCCTTCACTCAACCCTGATGCCCTTCACTCAACCCTGATGCCCTTCACTCAACCCTGATGCCCTTCACTCAACCCTGATGCCCTTCACTCAACCCTGATGCCCTTCACTCAACCCTGATGCCCTTCACTCAACCCTGATGCCCTTCACTCAACCCTGATGCCCTTCACTCAACCCTGATGCCCTTCACTCAACCCTGATGCCCTTCACTCAACCCTGATGCCCTTCACTCAACCCTGATGCCCTTCACTCAACCCTGATGCCCTTCGCCCACTCCCACTCTCCCCACCCCCTCTCAGCGTTTCTCCTTCCCTTGTCACCTCCCCATACCTGGCGGGCGTAGCGGCGGCCGTCATGGCGCAGCCAGGAGTATGAGTGCAGGACGGGGTCGTGCTGCTCGCACGTGTGGCGCACCACAAAGTCGTCCTGCCTCGGCGCCCACCACATCACTCCCGCCACCACCGACTGGGGCAGGCTGGGGAGTGAATGGAAAGACAGAGACAAGCGGCATGACACGCGAGGGACATGAGGGGTAGCATGGGCAGGACATGAAGACAGCATGGACAGGACATGAAGACAGCATGGGCAGGATATGAAGACAGCAGGGGCAGGATATGAAGACAGCAGGGGCAGAAGTGGAGGAGGAAAGGAGGGGCATGTGCAATGAAGGAATGCGAAGAAGGGGAAGAGGGGAGTGGAGCGAGTGAGTGAGGAAGTGAGGGGAAGAGGCGCAGCAATGAGTGGTGACCACCGCACGCACGCAGTGGCGGGGCGGCACAGCGAGCACCGTGGCAACCACAAGCCACCATCTCCTCCCCTGCCGCCTGCATTGCACTGCACTGCTGCCACGCTCCCACCCTCCACCCTCAGTGCCGTCCCCTCTCCCGCTACAGCACAGCACAGCACAGCACAGCACAGCACAGCACAGCACAGCACAGCACAGCACAGCACAGCACAGCACAGCACAGCACAGCACAGCACAGCACAGCACAGCACAGCACAGCACAGCACAGCACAGCAGAGCACGGCACAGCACAGCAGAGCAGAGCAGAGCAGCGTACCGTGGGCGAATGCCGAGGTAGAGTTGGGGGCGATAGGTTCCCCACAGCATCTCCTCTGCATACCTGCCCTTGAACTGCCCACTCATGCCATGCCATGCCATGCCATGCCATGCCGTGCCATGCCATGCCATGCCATGCCGTGCCATGCCATGCCATGCCGTGCCGTGCCGTGCCATGCCATGCCATGCCATGCCATGACCATGACGACACATTATGCAAATGTCATAGTATGCAGGGTCATGCCATGCCATGGCAGCACATGATGGGAGGAGGGGGGTCAAGCAACCGCATCCAGTCCGCATGCCAATATGATGCACCCCTGACATGCCAATATGATGCACCCCTGACATGCCAATATGATGCACCCCTGACATGCCAATATGATGCACCCCTGACATGCCAATATGATGCACCCCTGACATGCCAATATGATGCACCCCTGACATGCCAATATGATGCACCCCTGACATGCCAATATGATGCACCCCTGACAGCTGCAATGCCGCAACGCATCCCATCCACCATGAGAAATGTTCACAAGGCACCCATCCGCCCATACATGCAACCATGCACCATACACCCATACACCCATGCATCCATGCTAACTTTTATGAAGCGCTTCACACGCGAGGAGGGGCGACGGCCTTGGTGAGGCATCGCCTCCACTCCTGGCGCCGCTGCTGCCCCTCGCATGCCACATGCCCATGCTACCCACGCGCTGTGTCGCGAGGAGAATCAACCCACGCCCCTCACCATGGGAAGCTCCTCACCATGGGGAGATCCGCCACGCGCGGCGCGTTGAGCGGCGTGAGGTGGCGCTGCTTCTCGGAGGAGCCGAAGAGCGCGTCGCCCCACGTCAGCACGACGATCACCGCCGCCGCGCATCCCGCAGCCAGCACCAGCGCAAGAACCGCCGCATTCCACGCCAGGTTTGCGGGGGCAGCCTTCCCTCGGTGCGGGTGGTGCGCCGCCCTGTGCGCAAGTGCGCGCTTGCCCGCCGCGCCGCCGTCAGCGCGCGGGGAGGAAGGCGCGTCTCCTCCGCTCCCACCCCCGCGTCGCCGCGAGGGAGGAGGCATTGTGGGGGGAGCGCAGTAACTCGAATGGAGCTAGGAGCGCGCGAGTGGTGGGGCGCACGGGCGTATGCGATATGCGGCGGAGACAGGGATGTGATTATGAGATGGCCTTCCTGCGAACTTTGGACATGACAGCCCCCCAAAAGTGCACCGCACTGGTTCCAGCGTGGCAGCTCAAAAGATTCCCCTACGTCCTCAAACGTTGGGTATTTTTCAACGGCTCTCAACCTATTTCAGTGCAATTTTGAGAATGCATACAGCTGACTCAATCCTCAATAAGGGTAACCGCATGGTTACCCGACGGGTCGACATTTTTCCTCCAATAGTTTCATTGTATGCATTCGTAACCACTCCCTGGCAAAATCTGCATGCAGTTGGGTTTGGGGGGCTCAACCCACGTGCGACGTCCTCATTCGTCCCCCGCCACCTCATCACAAACCCCAATGCCTTCACACGTGCCGAGTGCACTTTTCGCTGTCCACACTTCGAAGTTTGGACAGCCCAGGAAGGCGATCTTAGAATGGCAGGCGTTGCTATGCTCAAATTTGTGCCTGGCAGCAGATCACAGGTGCTACACAGGTGCTCATCTGGGAGTGGATAGAACAACCTCGATACCCAGCGAGGCGTGTAAACAAATGGGTAGGCGGGTTACGACCGACAGCCGGGGTAATACCAAAGGGGGTTTCCCCTAAAACCTTTACCTTTACCTTTACCTTTACCTTTACCTGGCCGCAGATCACGATGCTACATTGTTGGCTTTGTAAGACAAAAGTATTCGAAGTGTGCAGAACCACCAGAAATTGGTGTACAATGAATGAAATAATCTGCTGTGACCTGGTACTCTTGAGTGGGATTTATTTATGCCTAAGTTAATTGTGGTTGGAAGTAAAACCAAAAGAACCTGGATTGCAAAAAATCAATGGAAAGAATATGACATTATGAAGACATTACAAGGGTAATTATTGGATTCTGCAGCACCTTAGGTGATGCATGCTGCACCATATGATCACATCACATACTATATTTTGGTGGGTAGGATGTTTAAAAGCTGAGAACAGGCCCTGCGAAAGAGAGCTTGACAGGACTCAGTGCTGGAATGTAGTGTGAGTAGCTCTCCGCATATGTACAACCGAGGGATGGAGGAGGTGCAGGTTGTCAGCAGCCCATGTTTCCCCTTGCTGCTGCCAACCCCACTCCCACGTCCACTTGCATCCCCTTGTCAGCTGCCGCCCCTCCCCCTGCTGCCAGCTCAACGAGTGGCACCTCGGTGCCTTGCGTGCCGCCCGCAGGAGCGGCATGAGCAGTGTTTGTAGCGTGAGTGGCAAAGACAGCGTGGGTGGGGCCCCACGGGGGAGGCAGCACCAAGGGGAGGTGGTACCTGGCAGGCAGACAAGGTCGTGAGTAGAAGACAGAGGCTAGAAAGGAGAAAAGGAAAGGGATAGCGAGAAACAGAGGACGATTGCAATGGAGTTGCAAGTACCAGGGGGGGTGGATGGTGATGGCAGTGCCGGGCTGAATGGCAGGTGCAAGGGAAGCACTGGGGGCAGGAAAGGCTGCAGCAGCGCCAGTAGCAGTGGCCGCAAACAGTGCGGAGCTGTGGAGAGTGGTGCTGCTGGTGGGGATCACTGCAAGGAAGGGCTGTCCCTGCTTCTGAGGAAGGTCGCCGTCTGGTATGTGGGGGTGAGGGGATGGGGGAGCAGTGGGAGTGGACACGCGTAAGGGTGGAAGCGTGAGGAACACAAGGGGTGTGGCATGCAGAGGAGGGGTGTGGCATGCAGAGGAGGGGTGTGGCATGCAGAGGAGGGAATTCAGGAGAGAAACAAGGAAGGAAGGAGCAAGGAAAAATGGGTACGTTTCCACACGTTGTGTGCTATGACCCCTAATCTGAGTATTGAGAGTGAGTGTGAGGACGCGACACCTGTTTGCCCCAAGGCAGGATCGATCGTTGGAGGGGATCGATGTGCCGTTTGTACAGTTTATTTGCGACGTCGTTAGTGCCTGGTATCCGTGTTTCGCAGAACCTCGATAATGTACAGTAAACGGGTACCCAAACTGGTGGCACCTGCAGCTCGCACGATCGATGTGCCATGGTGCACACATCGATCTTGCGTTGAAGTTGGCAGGAGAGCAAATCGCGCCACACGTGACAGCTGCAATCGATCAGCGTCGCCCACGGTCGCAGGCAAAAAAATCCCAAGTCGAAGCGAATGAAATTGCTGGGCGACCAACCACGCTCTGCCCTGATTGGCTGCGCGTTGCAGTGTGTTGGTGCATTCCGACGCGGCTCCAACCTGCCCGATCCTGCGATTTCAAACCTGGCACCTAAAGCTCGATGTCTCTACCCCACTGCAAATCTGCAGTGTGGGCACATCGGTGTGCTGATCGATGTGCCAGGATCGACATGAGGCCCCGATCTTCCCCCGATCTTGGCAAAATGCAAACAGGTGCCGCGTCGTGAGTGATGAGGGCAAGTGTGACAAGAGCAGCTGGGAGCACCACCCACCTGTGGAAAGCATTGCTGCTCGAGCCACATTCTCGTCTCTCCCCGCACCTCCCACACTTGCATCGCCTGCACGCAAACACTCACGCCACGCACCACCAGCATCACCTGCACCAGCACCAGCACCAGCACCAGCACCAGCACCACTAAGAGCAGTAACAGCAGCGCCAGCATCGTGAGCAGCTGCCCCACCCCGGTGATCGCTTCCTCCTCCCCCTCCTCCGCCACCGTCTCTCTGCCCCTCCCCCTCAGTACCCGTGCCAGCCTGGCAGCGCAGCTGACTCATGGGAGCAGACGTGGCACGCTTCTGGGTCTGCTGGCACAGGCACAATGCCACGTGGCCCTCGAAGCTCACACTGGTTACAGTCACATGCAAGTCGCGCACACCATCCCAGGGCGCATGCGCCTCTGCTGCATCTGCCCGTGCGTGCTGCACTGCCTGTGCACCGTGGGCTGCCTCGTTCCCGCTGCCTGCCTGTGCCCCGTGCTGCTGCTGCCGCTGTGCCGCCTCCAAGCGAGCCAGACGCGACTTGAAGGGCAGACTGAGTAAGAGCGAGAGAGCGGGAAAGCGAGAGGCAGAGGGAGGGAGGCAGCAAGGGAAGGGAAAGACAGAGGGGAGGAGAAGTGACGAGGGGGCTTGGAGCGAGAGGAAGGTGTATGGAGCACAGGAAGTGGCGAGTACCCAACATGTGGGCAGCATGAAACCTCCATACAGTCACCTGCATACAGTCACCTGCATACAGTCACCTGCATACAGTCACCTGCATACAGTCACCTGCATACAGTCACCTGCATACAGTCACCTGCATACAGTCACCTGCATACAGTCACCTGCATACAGTCACCTGCATACAGTCACCTGCATACAGTCACCTGCATACAGTCACCTGCATACAGTCACCTGCATACAGTCACCTGCATACAGTCACCTGCATACAGTCACCTGCATACAGTCACCTGCATACAGTCACCTGCATACAGTCACCTGCATACAGTCACCTGCATACAGTCACCTGCATACAGTCACCTGCATACAGTCACCTGCATACAGTCACCTGCAAGAAGTCACCTTGCAGCGCCAGGCCCTCTGGGCTTGCCCCCTGTGGAAGCAGTGGTGCGTGCTCTTGGGGTGGCAGGGGCACACGAGGGCGAGGGGAGCGGTGGCAGCAGCGAGGCCAGCGAGGTGTGGGGTGGGGGGAGGGCGGGCGGCATGAGCTGCAAGGAGGGAGGGGCGGAGGGGAGGAGAAAACCAGGAAGGATAAACGACAAGGGAGAGGCCGGTAGTTGAAGGGAGATGAGAAACGCCGGACAGTAAAAGGCAAGCAGCCATGCGATGAGCGCGGTGCGCCGCCCGGTCAGGCCAACGCAAGATTGGGAATGGTGATGGGTGGATGGTGCATGGGTGGATGGTGCATGGGTGGATGGTGCATGGGTGGATGGTGCATGGTGGATGGTGCATGGTGGATGGTGCATGGTGGATGGTGCATGGTGGATGGTGCATGGTGGATGGTGCATGGTGGATGGTGCATGGTGGATGGTGGATGGTGCACGGTGGATGGTGCATGGTGGATGGTGCATGGTGGATGGTGCATGGTGGATGGTGCATGGTGGATGGTGCATGGTGGATGGTGTATGGGTGGATGGTGCATGCGTGCCAATGATGCCATTGTCCCACCCTGGCAGGCAGCACCCCACCCCACGTCATCACACCTGCCCATCGAAAGCGTCTCCCCCAACACAATCCTGCTGCTGCTGCTGAGATTGAGGTTGGTAATACGGCGGTTGTGCTGCCTCAGCCTGCACCTCGTGCTCATACTGCTGCTGCCAGTGCTGGCTGGAGTGCCCCTGCAGCGGCTGAGACCCGTGCAGCTGTGACAGCTGCTGCTGCAATGCCATGGGTGCCATGGGTGCCATGGGTGCCATGGGTGCCGCTGCTGGCGCTGCCTGCGAGCTGGTGGGCGCCGGGGCTGCTGTGGCACGCACCTGTTAGGGCATGGGCGCATGCACATGGATGGGCAGGTCGATACTAGTTGTCATTCATTTGACCCGCCCACAAAGCATTCACAGTGCGCAGTATGAGAGACAGCTCATGTGAATCAACACGCGCTGTGGGTCATCCATGCCTTGTCGTATGTTATTGCACCATGCACCATGCACCATGCACCATGCACCATGCACCATGCGCCATGCGCTATGTGCCATGCGCTATGCACCATGCACCATGCGCCATGCGCTATGTGCCATGCGCTATGCACCATGCACCATGCACCATGCGCCATGCGTTATGCACGCACCTTCTCCTTCTTCCCACGGTACCGCCCGCCTCTCCCCTTCCCCCCATGCGCCAGGGGCGGAGGTGCGCCTGTCAGCTGCAGCAGCTGCTGCGCCAACCCTCCCACCGCCCCTCCTGCCCTGCTGCCCTCTCTCTCTTCCCCCTGCGAGCGCCCCTGCCCTTCTGCCCAAGCGTATCCCTGCATCTCCTGCCTCGCATGCCCCACTGAAGCCTTGCCCGCCGCCTGGCCCCTCTGTGACGTTGTGATGGGCGGGGAGGAGGATGCAGGGTGGGGAAGAGGCGGAGGCAGCACGGGGGGCAGCAGGGAGGCGAGGCTTCGTGATGACTTGGCGGCGGTGGTCCGTGTGGGTGCTGATGGGATGCCAAGTGCTGCTGCTGGTGCTGCTGCTGGTGCTGCCATGGCAGCAGTCGCTGCAGCAGGTGCAGGTGGCGCCGGGGGTGCAGCAGGTAGCGAGGGCGGGTGGAGAGCGGCAGGTAGCGAGGGCGGGTGGAGAGCGGCAGGGGGAGGGTGGGCAGGTAAAGGTGGGCGGGTGGGGGGCCCAGGCTGATCGGCTGCCTCACACGGCTGGGGTGCAGGTAGGGGCGATGCGGCAGGCACCAGTGGTGGTGGGTGCAGTGGTGGCGGCGGGCACGGGGCGGGCATGAAGGAGAGGCGCGCCAGCAGCCCCTCCGCCACGCGCCTGCTGTACTCCCCCTGCCCGCCCTCCCCCTCGCGCCCTCCCTCCTGCACTGCCTGCCGTGCCTCGTCCCCCTCACCCACATCACGAGCCTCCCTCGCCGCATCTACAGCCTGGGGTGCAGCTTGCGCGTCCACGTGGTCGTCGGGGAAGCCGTCCTCCTGGTGGCAGGGAAAGCCGTGCATGCACGATGCACCGCAAAGGGAGCACGGGCGTGAATGTAGCAGGGCGTGCCAGACTAGTGAGCTGGATAGACAGATAGATGGGCAGACAGGGGCGCGAGTATGCATGATATGGCACGGATGAATGGCATGTGGGAGAGAGGGTAAGGGACGGCAGCGAGCAGCACAGGGCACACAGCATGCAAGCACAGCAGGTCGGCATGCATGGCATGGTACACGGGCACATACCCAGTCATCAGCAGTGGGCGAGTCAAACCATCGCAGCCCCCACTTGGCCCGCTGCCATGTGTCACCTTTTTCCTTCTCTGACACGTCGGATGCTGCCAAACCCTGCCACCCAAATTTCACTCCTGACACGTTTCTGCAGTTCGCTGCTGACTCTCCAAGTGTAGCGACAGCGGCTTGTGGTTCACCAATCAAAAGCTGCCAAGTGGAGTGAAAGAAAAAGCGGAGCAGGGGAACAGCAGATGATCACGAGGCAGATGGAGGGAAGAAGGACCAAGGTGCAGATGGAGGGAAGGACCAAGGTGCAGATGGAGGGAAGGACCAAGGTGCAGATGGAGGGAAGGACCAAGGTGCAGATGGAGGGAAGGACAAAGGTGCAGACGCGGGGATGGGGATGGTGAAGCCACTTGACGACCACGATCGCTATCAGCATCCTCCCTGCCTACGCGCTTACTCCCCTTCGTCGCACGGCGCTCACCTTCGGGCCCACGGCATTTCGTCCGCCCGCCGCGCCCTTGCGCTTCATGAGGCGCTCCAGCGCGCCCCTGTCGTCCGCCTGGTACACCACGCGTTCCCACACGCCCTCGCTCTCCGCCTCCCCGCGCCCCCACGCGTCCTCCCCTCCCGCCGCGTCTCCCCCATCCCATCGGTCTGCGGCCATCGCCACGGGCGACGCGCGATGCCAAGTCTGGTCCGCACGCTGCGATTGCCCGCGTACGCCGAGAAACACCGCGATTTAGTGCGATTGCATTCAATCGAACGCTGAGATTATCGCTCTCCTGCTGCCACCTTGACTACAAATTCTTGACTACAAATTCCTGACACAAGTTCCTCCTGATGCGTCGTCCCTCGCCAGCGCGAGCGTGTCACACAAAGCGAGGTGGCGTATTCAAGACGCCTTGATAGTGTCGACACCTTGGTTTGGGACTTCTCCCCAGGCTGGTTTCGTGGTTTGTAATGTCAAAGTGCTTCAGGTCAGCGCAATTCGATAAAACACTATGATTGTTGAAATATTGAACCCCTTATATGAGGTCAATTATAGTAAAACAACCTCTACGTTGTATCTTCACTGCTCTAGTATCGATGTGCGAGTAGATACATTATGCTGAACCTCTCTTCAGAAAGGCAATATGATCTCGTCATGAAATTAAATGTACTATTTTTTTAAAATGTAACTATATTAACAATATAGATACATCCACAGTCGTAACTGTATTCTTGGAGGGCCTAGGCCGCGCCTCATTGGGCGTTGCACTCCCCTCCTTTGCCAGCTTACGGAGGCTGATGAAAAGTGCGTGGATTGCGCCAAATTGAGAGAAACAGGCCCGACCAACATGCCGGCCCATCATCATTGCAGATTCTGTCAGAATGAAGAATGGATGATGCATTGATGTTGGTTGGGGTACATATAGCTAACCCTAAGTTTTGTACCCCCTAAGACAAACCTCACTATAGGCTACAACATTTGACACACCCCCATAGCCTAAGTGAGGGGTGTCTAGCAGAACCAAACGAGTACGGTCACAAGACCAGTCCAAGAAACGAAGCTCAGGGTGGATCACAACGTCACCACACAGTCTGAGCACAAACAACAGTGGCCACAAGGCCAGTCCAAGAAGTAACAGAGATATATAGAAAGCAAAGTAAACAGTACACTCAAGTCTAAGCAACACGAGAACCAGTGTCAACAAGGCCTAACTGCACACAGCACCTCTGGTGGTCACAAGGCGGAAGCGCCTTGGTGAAGATGTCTGCAGTGTTGGCCTCGGACTCCACAAACTCAAAGCGAGCCTGTCCACGCCTCTGCAACTCTCGCAGAAGAAAGTACCTGACATTGATGTGCTTCACTCTGCTCTCCAGTCGTGGCTCTCGACGAAGGAGAATCGACGCCTTGTTGTCAGTGAACAAGGTCGGTGCAGAGCTCGGCCGCTCACCAAGGTCGGTGAGCAAGAACGTCAACCAACGCAGCTCCTGTGCCGCCATGGCACCAGCGTAGATCTCAGCCTCAGCTGTAGAGGTCGAGACCGAAGAGGAGCGCGTGGACCGCCAGGAAACAGCTCCAGAACCCAGGCTGAAACAGTACCCCTGAGTAGACCTGTGAGTCTCAGCGTCGTCAGCGTAAGAGGAGTCACAGTGACCAGTAAGTACGACAGACTGCTGCCCTCCAAGAACTAGCCCCACGCCTGATGTCGTCGCTAGGTACTTCGCCACCCTCACAGCTGTTGTCCAGTGAACAGGACGGTGTCTCCCTGGCGCAACAAAGCGCGCAAGAACGCTGAGAGGGAAGGCGAGGTCCGGGCGAGTACAAGTCATCAGGTACATGAGGCGACCCACAAGCTCTGCGTAGGGACCACTAGGCTCGAACGGCTCGTCAGGAAAGGGTCCAGTGAGTCTGTGGTCAACAGCAAGAGGTGTGCGCTGTACTGTGGAGTGCTGAAGCCCGAACCGCTGAAGGACCTGCTGCACCATGTGTGACTGTGAAAGTGTAATGGTGCGAGCAGCTCTGTCCTTGGTGATCTGCAGGCCAAGGTAGTGGCGCAGCTCACCAAGGTCAGTGCAGGTGTGTCTCTTCTGCAGTTCGGACTTCACGTGTGCCAAAGCAACCCTGTCAGGAGTGGCGAAAACAAGGTCGTCAACGTAGACCAGAACAAAGAAAGGTGTGGAGCCACGACGAACGAACAGCGACGGGTCAGCAGAAGACGGCTGGAACCCAAGGTCAGACAGGGTAGAACGCAGGGTGTCGTGCCACTCACGAGGAGCCTGACGAAGACCGTAAACCGGTCGCCTCAGCCTCCACTGGGTCCCAGGAGGGAAAGAGCCAGTGAAGGCAGAGGGACGACGCAGCCAGACCTCCTCGTGAAGACTGCCCTGAAGGAAAGCAGTAGAGAAGTCGAGAGAGTGTAACTCGTAGTCTCTCTGTGCTGCTACGTGTAGTAACACCCGAAGAGTAGTC